AGAGAGAGAGAGAGAGAGAGAGAGAGAGAGAGAGAGAGATTGGTAATGCAGAGAGGGCACTTTCGACATTCACCACACATATGAGAGTATGAGAATAGAGAAGAGTGAAGGAAAATTTCTAGATCACCGGGTTACTGGGTCAATCGCGGGCGAACCGTGGGTTAATAGATTAATTAATTTTAATATTTAACGATATGTTAGCTGTGGGAACCGAATTTCACCGTTGTCGATTTCCGTTAAATAAGAAAACTTAGGAAAACCCTAATGTTCCAGAGGAACCGGATCTCTGCGAAAGCCAACGACAAGTAACCAAACAAATGCGGAAAAATATGAAAAACGCAATAAAACGAATTTATAAAGAAAGTCGATCTTATTTCCGATTCGCGTAAGAGCGTTGCGATCGCTACAAGGAATTACAAAGGCTTTATCCGTAGGGGCCATCAGCGAGTTACAAACATAAAACCCTAATTTTAGTCGAGTCGCAGCTCGATAACGAAAGACAGAAAAAGATAAGAAAAAAGGTTTGATTGATTTCGGACTGAACCTTATGAAAGGCTGCATACGTACCCCTTTCGAAGATCAAGTCGAACGTAGTTTAGTTGATAGAGCTGGACAAGAGATCGAACTGCCTAGGCGAGTTCGTCTAGTCATTGAGCGCCAGTCATAGAAACCGACCTTGTCGAGAAAAAGCCTAAGTTTCTAAGTGCGGAAAATTCTAATTCTAGAAAAGTTGTAAAAGTCTCAGATGAGAGCTCTGAAATTCGTCCCCTTGCTTCTGTCCTATGCCTCTTGCTTATATACTCCCTTCCTAGGCGGTTTAATCTTTCCATTTCGCCCAGATTCGAGTTTATCGGGAATCTTCCATTTATTTCAATCTTTCCTTTTTCCCCGCGGAAATCTTCTATTATCCTCAAACTTGAAATTTATCTTCAAGTTTGACATTTATCTTCTTTCTGCGAGTAAATCGCCAAAACGTCGTCGTATCTTCGGGTTGGACTTTGTTTAAAGTCGCGAGTGGTTTTTATCGCATTTTAGGACTTTAGACGAGATCGTTTCCTGATACGATGCCGCTTTTAGATAAGTTTCTCGAGTTAATCGTAAAGCTAGGGAATGTTCGATGTTTCGATTAATCGTTGCCGTTTTCTACAATTTACTCGAGGTTTTATTAAAAACGCGTTTTGTACGATTTTTACGAAAAATATCGAAAAATCGTACAGTGTAGGCAATATACGATGTTTCGTTTAACCGTTGCCGTTTTATACGATTTCATCGAGTTCTTTTCGAGAAAACAAAGTTTTACGGTTTTTATCGTAAAACTCGAACGATAGGACGGATCGAGACGAAACGGGAGACATTTCGACCGTGATTTGGAATACGATCGTGTCGAATGACGTATGCCTTGAATCAAGGATGTGGGAGATCGAGGCTCGGGATGGTCGGCTCGACGTACGGCGAGCTAGTTCAGCTTGGCCAGGTCGCCGTATGGCGAGCTAGGCAATAAGAACCCTTGGGGGCAAAGTCAGCGCCGTTGGGCGAGTTAGTTGGGACGAGACTAGCTCGCCGTTGGGCGAACTAGTCGGGACTAGCTCGCGTTTTACGGCGGTTTCGGTTTTTCACGTTTTACGGCGGTTTCGGTTTCTTAAAATCCAAATCGGATTATTTAAAGATCTTTGGGTTTGTCGGTCCAACTGCGGAACACTGAGTATGAGAGATTATTTTTGGCTGAGCATCCCCTATATATTAATTAAGAAACATTATAACATGTTTTGGTAGCTATGTGTCATCACCAAATAATTCTTAGAATCCTTAGAAAAAAGTTGGTCCATCTAAACATATCTTATAGTGTATTAAATTAACTATCAAATTAATTAGTAGTTTACAAAAAAATATTTTATATTATTTCCTCAAGTAAAAGTTACTGAATTATCTAATATGGATAACATATATATGATAATTAATGATTTTGAATAATAAATATTTGATAACAATTTTTGTATCTTCCATCATTTTTGTTTAATTTTATATTCTTACAAAAATCAATTAATCACATTAACCATATAATTAAAATTTAGGTTTTTTCTTATATACTATATTTTGAATTTTGTAAATGATTATAAATTAATATGACTACTAAAATCCCAAAATGAAACTTTGGTGATCAAGGGTTTAACTCTTTGTTATAATAAAAAATAAACAATTATAAAATCATTTAAATGTTTAGAAACTTATAAAACGATTGTTCAATAATCAAAATTAGTATTCAAACAATCTTTTCGTATATAAATTTCATCATGTGCATAAACGCATGTAATCACCTAGTATGAGATTATTCCCTAGTAACATCTCCTAAATATCTAATTGCCCACTAACACCCTCACACTTTTCTCTCTCTTGCATCCTCGTACTTTAGAGAATCGAAACTTCAACAAATATACACTTAGGTCCCTATTTGTAACTCATATGTGGAAAAATACCCCTGACTATCTTGTACAATTACCGAGCACCCGTCTTGTTCCTCAAGGGGCTTTGATCCAAGCTCTCTTATAATATCTCCATCGACCGGAGGAAAAAAAAAACAATCGGAAAAGACACCCAAAACTCTTTATCTCGCTATATACAGATCTGAAGATGGAGTGCGTGTTTGGTCTTGTGGGAAACGGATTCGCTATCGTGGCGGCGGATACATCGGCGGTTCACAGTATCCTTGTCCACAAGAACAACGAGGACAAGATCATGCTCCTTGACTCTCACAAGCTCATCGCCGCAAGCGGCGAGCCTGGTGACCGGTAAATACTCCTCCCCCGCCTCTCTCTCTGAATCAATTGATGGGTTTAATTCGTCTTGTGGGAATTTGTATAGGGTTCAGTTTACGGAGTATGTACAGAAGAACGTGTCACTGTATCAGTTCAGAAACGGGATCCCTTTAACTACAGCTGCAGCTGCCAACTTCACTCGTGGAGAACTCGCCACTGCTTTGAGAAAGGTCACCTGTTTTCTTACTCTTCTTCTTCATTGACGAGATTGGGATGTTTTGGTTGTGATTTTGAGTTTGGGGAACTAATTTCTTTGCGATAGATGCTTATGTGAGATGGTGTCGAAGGTGGTAGATAGTGTCTTTTCCTCTTTTAATGCTTTTTGTTATGCTTACTCCCCTTGGGTTTCACTTGTTTCTCTTTCAGGTGGTGTAAGATTATTGTTGATTCACCATATTTCTGAGATTCTGACCATGGTTTTTAAGTTATTTATTATTATGATTTCATTACCTCGAGTATATATATTTGGATGAAAGTTGGAAAAACCTATTCTTTCAAAGAAAACTTTTTCATTATGAGATTATTCAAACTTCTCTTTCTTTCAATACTTAGTTGCAGATTTGTAAATTCAAGGGTTTATTCTGTTCTGCGCTTGGATATCACACAAGTGTTACTCTTCAGGTTGATTTAAATAACAAAGTTTTGAATCGTGAATGTCTTGTGGCGGAAAAGATAAAATTCTAATCAAAACTGATAGTCTCCTTATGTCAAGTAGTTGTAATTTCTTTGAATAAGAATGTACAAATAATATATCAAGAATAGGAACTTGTTTACTCTGATTCTTTTGACTTAATCAGATACTCATGTATACCTGATTTGTGATCTTTTTGGGTAGAATCTACTATTCTTGGGTTGTATTTCAGTATCGATAGTCCATTAGATTATAGCAATTGATCTGATGCATTTTATCCCTGCTTTCTTTTGGTTGTTTATGAACTAGCCTGCATGTTTACACGCAATCGTCCCCACAATCGCACTGATATTCATCCTTGCTGTTTATTCTCTTTGATTCCAGAATCCCTACTCCGTCAACATCCTGATGGCTGGCTACGACAAAGAAGCAGGCGCATCTCTATACTACATTGACTACATTGCAACTCTTCACAAGGTTGACAAGGGGGCATTCGGTTACGGCTCATACTTCTCTCTCTCCACAATGGACAGGCTCTTCCGCAGCGACATGTCCTTCGAAGAAGCCATTGAACTGGTGGACAAATGCATACTTGAGATCAGGTCAAGGCTCGTCATCGCACCACCGAACTTTGTGATCAAGATCGTGGACAAGGATGGAGCTCGTACTCACGCTTGGCGTCAGTCTGTTCAAGATGTCACGACTGCTTCTGTCTAAGTCTGTTATGTTGTTTTTATTAAGCTGACATTAGAATATTTATTTTCAGCTTGAGAAGCTTATATGAGTTGTGTTAAACTTTGAAATGATTTTCTTATGAGAGAAGTACCTTTAACATGTTCTTGTTCTACTATATCATCTCTGTTCGATTCAAAAAGCTAAAAGAAAAGAATGTACAATGGCACCGCTCGATAACAATTGTATGTCTAAAAGTCTATATCATCATTCTTTGTTCTATTCACAAAGCTAAAAGGAGAAAAAATCAAGGGAGTGTTTAAAGAGATACCACTCGCATCAGATTTCAAAGGAAAGAAAGAAGTAAACCTAACTCGAAGATAGAAGTAGGCAAAGTCATGATGATAGTCGAAAGAAACCAGAAGCTTCTGATCTTTGGAGAGCCGTTTATGATGGATTCTGGTGGTGATGATGATAAGTTGCCCATTTCTGGTGAGAATTGATCGGAGGCTGGTGAAATTCCGGCGGTTGCTGGTGCTATGGCTAACGATGGAGGAGATGCGGAAGCTCTATCACCTGCAGATATCAATGAAACTCGTCTCTCAATATATACAACTAAATTACTACTGACATTGACTCCGTTTCTTCACACTTACCGTAAACAAAAGGAGCTGTGAACTGAATATTCTGAAGTGGTGGAAGCTCCGGCGACTCTGCATTACTCATGATTACAAACCTAAGATTCGACAACTGATTCAGTTTAGATTAGAAGAGGAATCGGAATCAACCTGATGGCGAGCAGAGAGACTCGAAAGATTCGTCGGATCTCTGATCGGTACAGATCTGGGAAAGAGAAAGCAGTTTTGATCTCTCTAATGGGAATCCAAGGATCATCGGTTGCCGGAGAAGATAACAGAGGCAGTTTCCGGCGCCGGAATGAACGGATGTGGAGAAAACCGAGCAGCAAAGTGGATCCGGCGTGTCTGACATGTTGTTTGGTGGAGCGGAGACGTAAGGAAGGCATGGAGAGAACATAACCAGCTCCTCCGTACATGTTGGAACCGGTGGAGGAGAATAAGAAGAAGAAGAAGGTGCCTGCGTCTTGTTTACGGCGGAGGAGGTGGAAGAGAAGGTGATCTCGAGAACGAGGAAGAACACGATGGTGGTGCTTGTGGCAGCCATTAGAGCTCCGTTGTGATTTCAGTTACGGAGGTTACTTACGGTTGAAATCTGAGACTGACGACTGAGACTCCCGTCACGATGGTGGCGCGAAATAACAACCTCGAGGAGGTCGTGATAATTCCATCTACTGTATTTACGAATTTGCCACTACCATTTGATAAGCGTGAACTGCCAGTGTGTTTTCTGACTTTTTGAAGTTCATTTGACTTCAGGTTTTAATATTTGGGTATGAAGAAAGAAACCAAACAAATGAACTCAGCCTGTAGCAGATAGTCTGGATGCATGTAAATTAGGGATGTTATCTAAGGTTCTATTATTTAGGGTTAGCCTAGACCATCAAAATTTGTAAGAACCGTAACTCTAATATTTTAACTGTAAATTATCTGGGGTAATTTAAGATTGAGCTAGAAAATAAATGTTTAAAAAAAGATTGGGCTTTATTAGTCATCAGAATTGTGTTTTTAAACTAAACGACGACGGTTTGAATTTCTTCTTCTTTGATCCGTCGACGGCACTTGACGGTTTCAACATCTCCACGTCTTGCCTTTCCATGTAAGTTTCGTTTCGTCTCTATCTTTGCTTTCTATTTGTTTCTGATAATTTGGTTTACATATAATTAGATCATCCAAAATCTGATAGAAGCTTTGTGTGATGCTAGTTTAACTTATTCAGGTCTTGCGATACGATTTTTATATTTTCCAGCAAAAAACATTGTTGATTTGGGTTTTGGGCCAAAATTTGGCCTATCGATTAGCACAGCAAAATCCGATTGTCATTTGGGCTTCAGTTACTTATCATACAAAGTGATAATCGCGTCGGGGTTCAAGATTGGATAAGAAGTTACGGTTACAAGATTGAGAGTCAGAGAAGATATCAAGGCGGAGGTGAAAGCTCGATCAAGAACAGGGAGATTCAGGCGTGATCATAGCTCTTGAGGTCAAGGAGCTTTCTCCAAATCATTTTGTGTGTTTTCTTCGTCTTCAGAGGGATCAGAGGCTGATAGTGAGTCATCTCCTTCGTAGTCACTTTGGTACACTTCTCAGAATAGCTCTCAGTATATCTTCTTGTAATACCTACACAAAGAAGTGTTAGATTGTATCAAATCGATCAATAGTGAAGTGCATGAGAGTTTAGTTCTTTCCCAAATCAGTAGGAAACGAAGACCATGTAAACAAATTGCTTGTGTTGTTTGCGTGTGATCGATCATAGTTCTATCACTAGTTAAGCTCATAAGATTCAAGTAACTAATGAACTCGGAGATAACTCGACGTAAAAGGAAATCGAATCTAGTTTGATACCATAACAAGTGGTATCAGAGCCATGTTCTCGGTAAAGAGGACTAAGTTCGTTCAGCGGTGAAGTTGTGATTCTAGTTGGAGTTATTTGTGTTTGTGAAGTTGATGTGTGTGAAGTCTGTTTCTTACAGTGATCACTATGGAGTCGGTTCATGGGAAGTTTAAGATGGAAAAGTTTGATGGTTCTGGTGACGTTGGTATGTGGAAGTTCAAGATGTTGATGCAGCTAGAGCTGCAAGGGCTAAGCCATATCTTGGTTGAAAAACCGAGTTCACCAAAGGAGGAACCGATGAGGATGATGATACTGAGAAAGAAGTCAACAAAGAGAAAGATCCTTTAGCTAAAGAAAAGGATACTCGAGCGAAGAATCTCATTTTCTCAAACCTCGCTAATATTGTACTAAGGAAGGTTATGAAGGAAACTATGGCAAAGGGGGTTTGGAAAGAACTTGAGAATGACTATCAGATAAAGACTTTGCCGAATCATATCTATCTTAAGAAAAGTTTTGCAACCTTCAGGATGGAGGAAAGCAAAAGTATTGAGGATAATCTCGATGTGTTCTTAAAACTGATTGATGATCTAGCTAGTCTAAACATCCAAGTTTCAGAGGAGGACCAAGCGAAATCCTAACGAGTCTTCCTCCGCAATATGATTCTCTGGTGCATACCTTCAAGTATGGTAATGGCAAAGAAACACAGACGCTAAAGGAAGTTACAACTTCTGCATATGTTAAAGAAGCAGAACTAAAGGAGAAATGACTACAAAAACGTCCAAACTCTAATGCCGAAGGTCTTGGCGTTATGAGAGGAAGAAGCGAGAAGAGATCATGAAACCAAGGGAGATTCAGGTCTAAAATTAAAGATTTTTGAAAGTCTAAAGGCAAGAGTCAACAAAGGACTCGAGAATGTTGGGTTTGTGGAAGGAAGGTTATTTCAAAAGAGAATGCCAAGAAAGAAAAGATTAGAAGCCTCCTAATGCTGCTAATGTCGCTCAAGATAAAGAGTTTCCTATGATCTTAGCAGCCAGCGTACATGATACTAAGGTGGAGTGGGTTCTTGACTCAGGTTTAACATGTCACATCACACCAAATTGAGAACTTCTATTTGACTTGGAAGAAATGGAAGGTGACAAAGTACTAATGGGTAACAATACCTTTAGAGAGGTGAAGAAATTGGAATGCTGAAGATTGTTAATCCAGATCAGTCTATGGTAGTCTTAACTGAGGTACGGTACATGCCTACCATGGGAAGGAATCTTATCTCCTACGGTTAGTTGGAGAAAAATGGTTGTAGGTACACAGGAGAAGGGTTCAAGGTTATATTCACTAAAGATGGGAAGAAAGTAATCTCGTGGAAGTATAAAGATGGGCTCTATTATCTGGAAGTTTCAGTTGCAAAAGATGAAGTAAATGTTACAAGAACATAAGAAAACCTAACGAACTTATGGCACTCTAGATTGGGGCATATGAGTTTGAAGAATATGAACATTCTGATGAAGAATGGGTATCTCAAATAAAAGGAAGTTCATTCACTCGATTTATGTGAAGATTGTGTTCTTGGAAAGGCTCACAAGTTACCATTTCCTACGGCTAAACACGCCAGACCAAAAATAGTTGCATACGTTCATAGCAGTATTTGGGGTTCGGTTTCTAATGAAGAAAGTTTGTCAGGCTGCAAATACTTCTTAACACTGATTGATGATTTCTCTAAGAAGTTTTGGATCAGGTTCTTGAGATCTAAAGATGAGATTTATGAGAACATTGCCAAGTGGAAAACGCTGGTAGAAACTCAGACAGGAAAGAAAGTGAAGTGTCTTCGCACGGATAATGGTCTTGAGTTTTACAATAACCAAATGGATTCAATGTGTAAAGAAGCAGGGATCAAGCGACATCGAACGTGTACCTACTCTCCACAGCAAAATGGAGTTGCAGAAAGAATGAACAAGACTATTACAGATAAGATTCGTTGTATGCTAGCTGAGTCAGCATTGGAAAAAAGGTTCTGTTCAGAAGCAACTTGTACAGCTGTTTTTTTTATAAGTAGGACTCCTAATGCGTCAATCGAGTTTAAAATTCCAGAGGAAGTTTGGTCTAGGGTCAAGGTGGAGTTCAGTCATTTCAAGAGGTTTGGTTGTGTTGCGTATGTTCACACTATACAAGATAAAATGAGTCATAGAGCTTTGAAAGGTATATTCATGGGTTATCCTCATGGGACAAAAGGTTACAGAGTATGGTTGGCTGAAGAAGGGAAGTCTACAATCCATAGAAATGTGGTCTTCAATGAAAGTACATACATGAAGGATAAAGGTAAAAAAGTGGAATTTGTTCCTAAGAGCAAACGAGTTACGTTTAAGGATGATTTGATCCAGGGTCCTACACAAGGGAGTTCTACTTTCGAAACTGGTTCTACATCTGAATCGGACATACCGGTCAAGATGGAGTTACTTCAGGTCAACGAAAGAACTCAGATTCAGAGGAGAGGGAAGAAGAACCAGAACAGTAAACTGAGGGTCAGGAAGATTCTTTGAGTGGTTATCTACTTGCTAGGAATCGTGTGAGAAGGATAACTAAACCGCCTGCTATATTCGAAAGCGGAGATTTTGATGGTTATGCGTTGGCTTGTGATGATGATATAAGCACAGAAGAACAGAAGTCATTGGCTGAAGCTATGCGGAGTAAAGACTGGGATAAGTGGAATGCATCGGTGAAAGAAGACAAGTCTTTTGTAGATAAGAATCACACTTGGGACATTGTTGAAAAGCCACCAAGACAGAGAGTTATTGGTTGCAAGTGGATTTATAAACTAAAAGAAGCGATTCCAGGTGTAGAAGATCCGAGATACAAGTCAAGGTTGGTTGCTAATGGTTTTACTCAAGTGGAGGGTGTCGATATAATGAGATATTTGCTTCAGTAGTAAAACATGTTTCTATAAGGATAATTCTTTCCTATGTGGTCAACGTTGATGCAAAGCTGGAACAGATGAATGTGAAAACGGTTTTTCTACATGGGAATCTACATGAAACTATCTACATGGAACATCCAGAGATATTTATCAAACAAAGTAGATGATGGAAACGTTTGTGTTCTCAGAAAGTTTCTTTACGGACTAAAGCAATCTCCTCAGCAGTGGAATCTAAGGTTTGATGCATTTATCAAGACACTTTGGTTTACAAGGTAAGTTAAAGATATGTTTTGTTGGGGTCAAAATCGGTACGACGGAATCAATAGCAAAAACTTCCCGCAAAAAGATAAAAAAATACGTTTTACAAAACTCGAGATCTCGTTTTATAAATCCAAAAAAAAATTTCCGAACAAAGGAAATCCGCGGAAAAACTCGGAAATCGTTATCTCGGAAGAATGAAACAAACGTCGATTACACGATCGTCCGAGTTAAGCACAAAACCGTGAAAAACTGAAACCGCCGTCAAACGCGAGCTAGTCCCGTCACGACTAGCTCGCCGTTCGGAGAGCTAGTCCCGTCCCGACTATGGCTCAGCTCGCCGTTCGGCGAGCTAGGAGCTTCCCGGGTAGCTCGCAGAACGGAAAGCTGAACCGGTCCGGTTCAGCTCGCCGTACGTCGAGCCGACCAGCCCGAGCCTCGATCTCCCACATCCCTGATTCAAGGCTTACGTCCTTTGACACGATCATGTTCTGAACCACAATCGAAATGTCTCCCGTTCGCCTCGATCCGTCCTATCGTTCGAGTT